TTTTTAACAACCCAGGGTTCTTGTATCAAAAAGATGGAATTTTGTTTAATCTTGATTTAATCTTTGTTTGCAATTTTTCTTATAATTTAATAGGTCGGTATCGCCTCGATGTCAATCTCACAAGAAAACCATATAACAATGATCCGAAAAATGTTTTTGGTATATTTCGCATCTATGGATCGGTATCGGATAACCGGATTGAACAGATTTAAGATATCCAACCATTTGAATAAACATTTACTATAATTATTTATCAATCGAAGATGTTCCACATTAACGAACCAGAAACTGGTCACCATTTCTAAATGATGACTTCGGTAATCATCATTATTTTCAAATAAAATTCAAAATATCATTGCATAATGAGTATTTTATTCAAAATCAAAACTGGAGCAAATATTTCGTAATGGATTTCGAATTTAATGTCTTTTTAATTGAAGCACTTACGTAATTTTTAAATCGTGTAAACAGACTGAATAACTGTCCCTTCTCCTCAGAGGAAAAAGCCCTGGAGAAAGACTTGGAAATTTTATTCATCCTATTAACTTGCACCTAACTTGTAGGTTTTTGAATTAAAAACAAAGCTTTTCACCAGAGATCAAAAAAACTTAAACCAGATCACTGAACTAAAATCTGAATGTTAGAAAATATTTCTGGTAAAATTAGAATTTATTCCAGGCGAAATCATCTATTTTTATCGAATTTCTTTGAAAAGTCAAACAATTTGATAAACGTTCTAATTCTGGATACTGAAAAAAGAATGGATCATTTGAAAAAAAGAATGTATTTTCCGATGAAAATGAATAGATTTATTGTTCACTCATGCCCACTCCAAAAGAGAGCCAAATAGTGACTAGAAACTGAAAAAAACGCTTGTGATGTGAAAAATGGCGCTTTGTTACGTTCTTCCGCGATGTGAACATTAATGCGAAATCTACCGTTCGGAAGATATATACCAAAATATAGAAGTTGTTTGAATGGAATTTTATCAGCTTCAATCAAAACATCATCCTCATACGGGCATGAGTGATTCAAATTCGAGTACTTCAATAATTCTTTTGACATCCAAGTTAATAAATACGATTTAGATTTGCCACTTAGCCAACCACATAAATCCTCCCACAATTCAATCGGTATTTTTTTTAAGTTATTACTATATTTATAAAAAAATTGACTATGTAACCATACATTGTGCACGGGTCGATCCAATGAAATGTTCAAATTGAATTTCAAATCGGATGAACCGAGTCGTTTCAAGTCACACTGAGCAATGGCGAAAGATGCACCAGACGAACATTCAATTTTCTCGATCGTTACCATACTTCTCTTTAGAAAACGGAAAAATTTAAATTAATTAACACTTTCTTATTTGAGGAAATGACTTCATTCTTACTGCGGCATCCAAGTAGATCGATGTTTCGTACAAAGATTGAAAGAGAATCATAATTACTTTTTTATTTGATGGTAACGACAGCAGATGTGGAAGATTTTTCGATGAACGCATTTTGAGTACTTCAAAAACTCACAAAACATTGTCTTTTTCCGTTGAAAGAATGCATGATGGGGGGCTGCGGCACGAAAAATGAAAATTTGATGTTACTTTTGTGATACAAATATGTTATCCTAGTGGATTGAAGAACCTCTTTTCGCTAGAGTTTTTGGCACCGAAGAAGTGTGGATACTAGTGAATACCCGCATTTATTCCATATAATTTTTTAAATGTTGCAACCCAAGTCGCAACTGAACACAAGAACGATCAGTAATTACAATAAAAGTGCTTAATACACCTGGTCTCTATCTCTGTCTCGAATAAATATTAATGAAAAATCTTGTTTATTCGTCAATTTCATTTGAGTATATTCATCCAAAATCTTTTAGTTTCTTCGTTTTCTCATTCTTTATTGTTGACTTTAACTTTACAAAATCTTAGCGTAAAGATCTGAATGATAATCACAAAAAAAAAATTAAAAATTAATCCTCGGAAATCGAAAAGATGGTTTGAGTTCCTATAAAGGGTAGTTTGTTACGAGCTTCGGTCAGATTTAAATCCAACCGAAATCGTCCCGACGGCAAGTAATTGCCAAAACTCATAAGCTTTTCAAATGAATTGTCAGTTCTAACAAAAGATTCACCAACATACGGGCACGAATGGTTTACATTTGTGTAATTCATTAAATACTTCATAGTCCAGTCTAAAATGTATGATTTCGTTTTGCCGCTTAACCAACCGCACACATTCTCATGTAGGTCAATCGGGAACCTTTGAAAGTATTTATATTTGTAGTAAAACACTGCATGAAGCCATATATTTTCTATCGGTCTATTAAAGTTGGCATTTACATGAATTTCATTGAATTTTCGCCGATTTTGTCTCAATTCACATTTTACCGAAACATAATTTGTGAAAGAGACACAATGAAGTTTTTCCAGATGTACCGTAGTTTTCTTTGAAACAAAAATAAGAGATAGGAATGGGGAAAACTTAAGTCTTTGGTGATTAGATATTTATACTTACCGCAGCATCTAAGAAGAACGAAGTGTTATACAAAACGATGGCAGTGAGCAGGGCAAGGAAAAGGCTTGATGTTCGATGTATGACGGTCATCGTGAGAAGTAGTAAAATATGACATTTTTAATTCAATATATACAATCGTATACAATATACGTCCATGTTAAATCACATTTTAATGATTTAATATTTCAATTATTTGTGAGCATTTTTGATTTTATCAAATCATAATATTTCTTTTTTAGTTCGTCCAAATGAAAATGTAATTAGATTTATTTTGTTATGAATTTTTTTGTTTTTTTCAAAAACATTTTTATCGCTTTGATCAAGAAGAGAGCGATTTTGGTGGAGATGTCGAAATGGTAACTTTTTTTTGAAAGTTCCAGAGGGAGATTTTTGAAATGTTGGAAGATCAATCGATAGATATGACATTTGGCTACCGAATAAACTAATGACATTTGGCCACAGCAATGAAATCCTTACTACCGTGCTAGATGGTGTCGACACGAGTGACGGATTTTGAAATTTATTTGAACGACGCCATGTTACTATACTTGTCCATTACAAGGTACATGTAACAGAAGAAACACAGAGTCCATGTCCACGCTAGTGGACATAAACGATTTGAGCCGTCAATGTGAACTAGATCAAGTATAGAACTTTACATAGGATTATATACGATGAATATGGATTGAACAGTCTGTTTCAAAATACCGTCACCAATGTCGACACCATTTGACATCAAAATTTTGACAGTAAAAATATGTGTTATTGTTGTTGTCGTTTCATTGCTGTGCATTTGGCTAACTTGAAAAAAATCTATGCCTTGCTTTGGAGATAGGTTGAATGCAAAATCAGAGTTGGCGAGTATGGGAAATTGCTAGATATAACCTTCCATACGTTGTTTTTCATGTTTTCGAACATTGGCATTTGGATTTTTGATTTTTTGATGAAAATTCAGACCTGACTCAAAAGCACTTCTTTGAAACGAAATTCGCCAAAACTTTGCCAGGATTATTCCTAAGGACGGAGTTTGGGTCGATTCTTCAAACTTAAATTTTTTTTTGTGCGATTTCGTGTGGATTTGTTAAACACAATCGAATCATGAATAAATGCCATTTATTTTTCAAAATTATAACAATAATTGATTTTTTCATGAAAATTACATAGTCATGAACACCAAAAACCATTGAAAAAACGCAAACAAAGTGTTTTTACTATTTCACAGAAGAAAGATGTCTTCAGAACGCATAAAGAAAAAAACAACAACACTAAAACTTTTCGATTCGATGATCGGACACGGAGAAGAATGTTCGTGTTATAAACAAAGTCGATTTATTACGTCCTTCGGTGATATTTGCATCAATTCTGAATCGACCCGACGGCAATAGCATTTTGTAATCAAAAAATGATTTAATCGAAATATTGTCCATTTTAAGGAGCACATTACCCGCATACGGGCATGAATGATTTAAATTTGTATATTGTAAATAATTTTTAAGACTCCAATCCAATAAGTATGATTTCGATTTGCCACTCAACCAACTGCATATGTTTTCAAATAAATCGATCGGGAATTTTTGATATTGATTATATTTGAAGAAGAAAACGCCATGTAACCAAAGCTCCTTCGCCTGTCGATCCAATGTAACATTGATCAATACTCGTAAATTCTTTTGACTGATTCGTTTCAAATCACATTCCACCGAAACGAAATTCGCCACCGGAAAACATTCAAAGCGTTCAAAAGATATTTCGTTTTTCTTTGAAATAAAACGGAAAATTATATTGAAATGTCTTGATTTAAAAAATGAGCTTTATTGTTCTTACCGCTGCATCCAAGTACAATGAATTTTCATAAAAAATGGTGATCGTTATTAGAACGAAGAGCAAGCCAAATGTGCGTTTTATAACCGCCATTGTTTTCGATTGAAACCTGAATTAACTTTGATTCTAGCATATAAATACCAAGTCAATGCTTAATTTCATTTGTAATTCAATAGTTCACCGAGTGCAGAAAATGTTCGGTTGATTTTATCAGTTTTGTTTCATATTTCTAATGATTCTCTAATTATTTTCACGTGTATTTTAAAGTTAATTAACATTTTCAAGCTAATTGAATTCAAAGTAAACAAACATCGATTAAAATTGTTCAATGCGATTATCAGAAATTGAAAAAAATGTTCGCGTTCCCAGCAAAGTCGGTTTGTTGTGTCCTTCGGTAAAGTTGATATCAACGCGAAATCTGCCAGCTGGCAAAAGCATATCGAATTTCAAAAGTTCTTTAATCGAAAAATTGTCAACTTTGACATAGGCGTCGCCAACATATGGGCATGGATGATTCAAATTGGTGTGTGCCATTAAATCTTTGAGACTCCAGTCCAATAAGTATGACTTCGATTTGCCGCTTAACCATCCGCATAAGTTCTCATTCAGGTCGATGGGGAATTTTTGGTATTGATTATATTTGAAGAAAAATACACCATGTATCCACAATTCCTTGACCGGCCGACCCAATGTGATATTCAAATAACCACGTAAAAAATCGCGGCTGATCCGTTTCAAATTACATTTTACGTCAACAAAATTTGCGCATGAAAAACATTGTAGCCTTTCGAAATATAACGTGTTTTTCTTCAAAAAAACATAGAATTAAAATTTAATAATTGAAATTGATGGAGATTTTATTTATTTTTTACCGTTGCGTCTGAGTAAAACGAAGTTTTATACAAAACAGTGATGGATAGCAAGACCAAGAAAGACACAACTGTTCGTCGTATTGTCGCCATCGTGAATCAAAGACACTTGCTGTTAACCGCAGTCTTTGTTTACCCAAAATCAATGTCCAATTATTTTCGTATCACAATTTAGTGCTAATGGAATTTGAAATTCCGAATTCCTAATGTGATAAAATCATTTAATGACTTTTTCAAACGTTCGTTTCAAACGTAAAACGCATTAAGCGAAGTAGAATCAAAGTGCAAACAAGCTTAATCTAATTCAGAGCTATTACGATTACTCATATATTCCATCGTTACATAGTGACAAACCCCTTATACACACCTTCCTATAGGCTCACCTCGATGATTTCCTTTGAATTGAATCAGAATATATATATTTCACATATGTCTTGTCTTTATTGAAGTTTAAAGTGTTCTACAGCAAAAAGGACTTAATTCTAA